CCCACGTCTTTTCCTGATTATCATCCGGAAGAAGTCTACATAATGTATTTCAAGACCTATGTAGAAATTGTGTTAATTTAATACTAAATTATAATCCAGGCGGAAGCTTCATCCTTTTAGATTGGCAACTGCGGATGCTCTTCATACGTTCTTCTTCGCCGGAGATCCCAGGACCTTCCTGCGCTGAGCAAGCATGTGCTTATACATCACCGGCGAGACTAAATATTTAGAAATTAAAAAACTGAAACTTACATGGCGGGTACAAAAAGAGAACTGCCCAGTAAACGCAGTACCCATGGAGGGCAACATTAAGACGATTAGGCATTGGGAAATCGATCGGTGAACGTTTCGAAACGTACGGCAGAGAAAATAATATAAGCAAGATCTCGCCCTAAAACAAAGAATGAAGAGTAGAGCGGAACTTACGAGTATTCCAGTAGGGTAGAGTATCATAAAAAGAGAGTACCTGAAATTGTTACGTAAACGGGGGTAGACCATCTCACCTTAGGTACGTCAGAATGTAAGGTGGTTTAAAAAGAAGGCACGCGAAATAGTAGAAATAACGCGTAATTTCCGCTAAACACCATGATATCACCATCATCTTCAAGACTTGCGAATGGGCTTTCACCTCAAAGCACTGAAAAAACTAGACGACGAACCTCAGGGTATAAATACAAAACGCCCCACACAACAAAAATACGAGAAGCTATTTGTATAGCTGTCGTTAGCGGCGATGAGCGAACAAGTCTAAGACATGCATGGACGACCTGAGGACTATCTTCAGAATAAAACAAAATACCTCAAGCAATGCAAGTGTTTGGAATACCTGGAGAAAGAACTGGAAATCACCGCTACTGTGTGCCATTGATGTTAACTCCAAAAAAAGTATGAATCCCCATCTTTTTATATAAAAAAACAAAATTATTTACCCGCAAGCCTGAGTAATGTTATAAAGAACTAAGTAAGGTTTAGAAAAGCCCATTGTCGAGGGAAATGCGCGACCGCGAGTAATCGGTCTCTTTGCCCAAACAACTTAACCGAAACACTAATTTACATGAGCATAACCTAAAAACCAATTCACAACGTTATTTTATATAGGTTAGCTGGTAGCATCTGATGGATTTAAATACATTTTAGGTAGGAACAGCTCGGGTATCTAATTTTTTACACCAGAGTAAGAGGATTCTTTATGGTTCTGTAAACTTTGAGAGTAATTGCATCCCAGAGTGATTAACCTCTCGGATCC